TTAGGAATCATTCAAAAAGGGATAGAGAATAAGACAGAGAATATCATATTGCCCTTATATAAATCCATGGTATGTCCACATCTTGAATACTGCATACAGATGTGGTCTCCTCATCACAAAAAAGATATACTGGCATTGGAAAAGGTTCAGAGAAAGGCAACTAAAATGATTATGGGTTTGGAATGGGTCCCATATGAGAAGAGATTAAAGAGGCTAGGACTTTTCAGCTTGGAAAAGAGGAAACTAAGGGGGGATATGATAGAGATATAAAATCATGAGTGGGGTGGAGAAAGCGAATAAGGAAAAGTTATTTACTTGTTCCCATAATATAAGAACTAGGGCCACCAAATGAAATTGATGGGCAGCACGTTTAAAACAAATAAAAGGAAGTTGTTCTTCACACAGTCAACCTGTGGAACTCCTTGCCTGAGGAGGTTGTGTAGACTAGGACTATAACAGGGTTTAAAAGAGAACTAGATAAATTCATGGAGGCTAAGTCCATTAATGGCTATTAGCCAGGATGGGTAAGGAATGGTGTCCCTAGCCTCTGTTTGTCAGAGGGTGAAATGGCAGGAGAGAGATCACTTGATCATTACCAGTTAGGTTCACTCCCTCTGGGACACCTGGCATTGGTCACTGTCAGTAGACAGGATACTGGGCTGGATGGACCTTTGGTCTGACCCAGTATGGCCGTTCTTATGTAAACCCATCCCAAATGTTAATGGTCAGAGGGAAGCAAGGAGTTTGGAATCCAGATCAAGATCCAGATTTTGTGCTGGCCCCTGTTACTACCAACACCCTAAAGAAAAGACAAAATATAACATCTTTGAACTTTGAGAGGGTTCAAACTCTGTTCTGTGGCTTGGCCTGGACCAAACTCAAATCTTCTAAGTTACTGTTACAGCCTAACAACTGTTCATTCCCTGAAGTTATACAGGGGAAAAAAATCTTCACATTAAGTTTTCATCACTACCCTTAGTACATGAAATAGCGATAGATGATATACATAATATGAAATACAGAACTATCCTACATTTTCACGAAGTAACTAAGCCTTAAGAACAGTTTGTTTAGAGAAAATGCAAGGTATGCTGATAAAAAGGGCTTAAAATGTTTGAAAACTATTTAACAACAATAATTTCAGTTCTGCAAGGTTTTTTGGTATTGCTGTATTCTATTTTTCTCCCAAACTGGGATAAAATGCCAGCTGATTTTTTTTAAAAGGCAGTTAGCAAATTTTGCAGCCTATTGCACACTTTAGACAAATTCCTGCCTAACTTATTCACGCACAGATCCTGCTAACCTAATGTAATTTTGCACCTGAACAGTGAGCAGGGTCTGGCCCTTTGAAAGGAATTACAAACTGTGAAATATCCATGCAAAGTTAAAGTTATCTTGAGTTCTGAGAATAGAATGATGATCTAATTACCTTGTTGCATCTGAGGGTGTGGTGTATAACTTGGAGGATGTGAATATGGCATGTATCCTGCAGGGCTTTGAGGAGCATATGGACTAGGCACTGGGCTGTTCTGTTGTGCCATAAATCTGTTACCAGAGCTTGTCTGTGGTGGCACAAACCGGCTAAAAACAAAACCCAAGTACAAGTTAGGAAATCCAGTGTAGGCATCGTATTTCTTACACTTATTTTACAAAATTTTATAAGGCCTGCCATGTAATCCAGTGGAATCAAGAAACATCTATTAAGAGTAACATTTCTCACAAAAGTGTTTGCACCTTCTCTGATTCAATTATTTCTTAAGAGCTACATTTGCATTAAGCAAAACTAACGGGAGAAAAAAAATCCATTCATAAGAACTATACCTAGAAAAAGTAAATAGCTGTTTAACGTTCTTACCAGGTATTACAGAAAAATAAAATTTACAGTTTCCAAGCTTACTCATAGCTTACTAAAAAACGGAATGAAAATCAAAACCAAATAATTTTTCACGTGATGACTAGCTTGATTAACATTATCAATTAATCCATATATTCCTAGATCTCATGGCATCTGGAGCATTGCTTTGGCAATTCATTTTCAAACAGTTCAGTTTTCTAAAATATATTGGAGTCTGTTATATAGTTTGTGAAGACTTGTTTGATTTCTATAGTTCTGCTACAAAATGCGTTATAGAGCCCAAGGAGCAAATTCCAGCACTTTGCACAAATTTGTGACAAAGTTCAGCAAACTAAACTGAAAATTAATTTTTTTTTAATTAAAAGTAACATGACATAGTGCTTATGCTTGACAATCCACTAGAAATTATCCTTTGAACATTCCCTGACTTAACATTTTAGCCTCAAACGAAAGAAAACAGTAGACAAAATATGGGGCTTTATCTGCTTGAGAAAACAAACAGGAATTCTTCTTCTGGATACAGTTTTAAAGAAATGACAGTACAGCATGCCTTCTAATGGAATATCAAGCAGAAGTATTAATGAAAATGAGCTAAGATATATGTCCCCCTCTTCCTCTCCTTTTCCTATCTACAGGCAGACTACAATGAACGGACTTTTCGACCAGGCATTCTGGTCAAAAACCGGACGCTTGGCAACCGTATTTGAGCCTCTAGAAACCAAAGACCTTGCTTTATTCTAAAAGATCACACTCTTGTTCCATGCGTCTCTAGGGGACTTAAATAACATGATTTGAGTGTTCTAAATACCACTGAAAACTACACGAGGCTGGGCAGAAGTCACTATCTTCTGTGTAGTCAAAGGAAACCAAAATAGCAGCCAAGTGGACTTTGGGATGGGGAAGGAGGAGGCTATTCTCATTATGAGCACATACAACTCCCATTAAAATTAACAGGAGTTCAGTGTGGGCATTGAAAGGTAAAACGATCATTGAGAGGGCATTCTGATTTGTAATAGTTTAATTTAGCAGGTCGCCGATAAATATATAATACTGTCAATTAATAACTGGACATTCCAATAAGATTTCATAGAACTTTGTTTCTCTGTCAAGACTATACTGCTAATATAAAGGAGAGTGACAAAAAGGACCTGATCCAAAGCCCACTGAATTCAATAAACCTTGGATCAGCCCTATAAAGAGGACATAAATAAAGCAAAAGAGAAAAAGTGATTCAGGCAGTATACATCCTCTTTATAGGGCTAATCCAAGATTTATTGAATTCAATGGGCTTTGGATCAGGTCCTCTTTGTTTGGGTAATACTCCCCTATATTTTAGCAGCAAGTCTGCAACAGACTTGCCATAACCAAAAAACTATCAACTTTCAACCCTGGAAATCACTCTTGGGTAATGCAAGAAAAGGAGTAACTATGGAACAGGGAATTTGCTTTGTAAATTATTTTTGATATTGTGATTATACACTACAGTAAATTTAGAATATTTTCCTTGAAGCTTTATGTTTTAAGTAGTCCAGTTTGTGACCCTTCCCCCCCCACCCCTGAAATATTGTTGATGTCTGATTTTACAACAGCAACTATCAATTACTTGTTATAAACTTAATGAGATCTTAGGAGATGTAATGTATAACAGAGATTTTTGAATGGAACAAATACAAAGCAATTGCTTGAAATAAAACTAAAGTTAAGACAAAGATTGAAACAGTGTAAACAAGGAAACAGAAAGTACATTTTACAAGAACTTTTTTTTTCTTTTCAGTACTTTCACTTCTGAAATTTGCCACTGTTCTCTCTCAATCTTTGTGAAGAGGTTGCTTTATTTTTATTTTTGAGAATTTGCCGTGCACAGCCCAAAATAACAAACACACAGAAAGGGACTTTATAAGGTTGTTACAAGGTGTTTTGTTTGTTAAATTGTAGACAACGCTATATGTGGTTTTATATTAAAAATATTAAACATACCATCACTGACTCAGAATTGTAGAAAAAAAAATTTACATCTTAAAAGAAGATTGATTACAATGTAGTCTTCCCGAGGAATAAAACCAGTAAAGAAAACAAGCATTTTGCAAAACCAAAATATTATCAGAGAGATGGGGTTTGGAGGGAGGGGAGTTGGGTGGGTTTTTTTTGCAATACATAAAATCTAGAAAACTCTCCTCAACACCACTCCAAAAAACAAAGGTATATCTTGAAGGGCGGAACAATTTTATTTGCCAAGTTACATTAAAGTATATAAATGCGTTATGTAATGTGCCAAATAAAAAAGAGTTCTAAAGCTTAACAAAGCAAACTCTGTTTGTTAGTTGTAAACCAAGGGTGTCCAGCATACAGCCCACATGCTGAACCCTTTCCCATCCAGCCCCATTCAAAATTAACAGACTGCAGCTGCCTGTCTTGATACAGCTCAGAGGAGCTGGTGTAGGCAGAGTTGAGAAAGAAGCTTATGTCTGACTGGCCAGTTACCTGAACCCGTCCTCTTCTCAGCAGTCCTTTGTACAGCTGCTCTCACAATGCCCCACAATACAGATTTAAATAAGAAGTCCTTCCTGTCCCTTTTACTTCAGTTCTGCTGCTGCTGCCAAATCTGCAGAAGTGGGTCCCTTATCTCTCCCCCACTTCTGTCCCAGTCCCTCCTGCCATCACTGCCAACCTCCCATTATAGAAGTGTGGGAGAGAAGCCTCCAGAGGAGGATTCCCAAATTGAGGCAGAAGGTATAGAAAATTCACCAAAAATTGGTGAGGGGGTGATACAGGAATGCACGGAGAGATGAATTAATTAACAAAGGACAGGAGGTTTCATAAATGCATTTACCCTCTTAAAAGTCTGCATTTAAATGCCATATTTAACTGTGCTAGCTAAAGAGGCTCACTCTGTGGCTGGACAAGAATACAGTGTTTGCCTCCTGACAGTGAAATTTTAATTCCGACCCACAGACTCAGAACAAATTTGACCACCAGTGCAGAATGGGTTTGACCCCTCCCCAAGTGTAGACACTATATTACCTGGAAGGGCTATGTGAGATAGTGGTTTGTTGATAATTGGAAGATGCAGGACTACCATGCATGGAATTCTGAGAAAGTTTGTACTGCGGCATCATCATTCCTAGTTTAAAAAAAAAAAAAAAAAAAATCAATGTTACCATATGTATACGTTGTACATTTTCAACGCTTAGGTTTTTCTTGAGGAACTACTTTTTATAGGAATTTAAAGGGTACACCCACCACATTAATATCCTGTACTTACAATTAAATTAGAAAAAACATTTATACACTCAGCTCCATCTAACATGTATATTTCATATTTATGATGTATATAATCTAATACATACATTTATTAGTATATAAAATTCACTTAAGAAGCAGATCTATATCAGGAATGCATTTCAAAGGTAGTTTCTTATATTTATTAATTTTTTCCCATCTCTCCTATTCCTGTAGGCAAATACAGACAATGATAAACTCTCTGTATTTTATAATAGGGACCTGGATTACACACCACAGTTGAGTCAAACAGTAAAATAATTAATCTGTAATTAAACAATACTTCTTACAATAGCAAGAAAAACACTTCTAAGCTATTAAATTGGGTGGGAGGATTGGGTTGATATGACGGGTCTAAAGCCAAATTAAAAAGAAATTATTGTTCTCCAACAGTATTTCCCAAATGACAGCACAGATAAATATGGTTTTACAGCAATACCCATGAAAATGAACTACTAATAAACCAGTGGCCTGTAACACACATCCATACACAATATTGTTTTTTCCCCAGTACATTTATAAAGGGTTTTGTGCTTTCCAGTAAACATCATACAATCAAACAAGAAACATTTTTTAAAGAACCAGTCAAATACTGCATACAGCCATGCAGTAATTAAAAAAACCATGAACAAGAATAAATTGCAATAGCCCCCAGGGGAAAACACACTATCCACAAAGGAATCAATTCCAAAATACAGTAAAAGCTGTTTTATCTGGCATGTTGGAAGAATGGGGGGTGCTGGAAATGAAAAATGCCAGTTAACTAAGAAGGTCCTGGATTGAGATCCACATCTCTCGGGAAAGACCACCACTGCTTCTAGGTCCCTATCTTGTTAAGGACATATGAGTCTTTGACCTTGATGTGAATAGGTCTAAGCTCAGCAATCTGAAGACTTGGGTGACCCAATGACTCTCACACTCAGGAACTATTCACCCTGGATCTCTCTCCATCCTGCTAAGCCAGGCCATTATAATACGCACCATCTGATATGTAGGGTCCAAAGTATATGCTGGCTTCCTTGTGAAAAGTTCAAAACTTCGTTCCCTCTTGTCTGTTCACATATCCCATTGTTGTAGCCTTGCCCGTCATGACTAGTACAGACACGTTCTGCAGGTCTATCTAGATAGATAGGTCCATCAATGGCTATTAGCCAGGATGGGCAAGGATGCAAAACCATGCTCTGAAGTGTCCCTAGGCTCTGTGTGCCAGAAGCAGGGAATGGGCGACAGGGGATTGGCAACTTGATGATTACCTGTTCTGTTCATTCCCTTTGAAGCACCTGGCATTGGCCACTGTCGGAAGACAGGATGCTGGGTTGGATGGACAATTGATCTGAACCAGTATGGCCATTGTTATGTTCTTAGAAGTAAAGTATGATGGCCCTAATTGCTTTAAATTCCACCACTTTATATGTTTTTGCTGTCCATTGGGTCCATGTGTCCTGTGTTATCTGACCCTTTAAAAACAAGTCCCAAAACTGAGCAAGCTTGAAATTGGTTGTTACTGCCATTCAACCAAACTACAACATTAGGTGGCCTGAAATGAACCTATGGAATGGGTCCACCAGTGCAACAACTGGAGCATAGAGAGTGGAACCTCTTCCTTGTATCTAAAGTTGGACAAAACTGAAGACTCAGGAAACAGGATTCTTTGTACTGACTTCACATGGAAACATTGCCATTGAAGAGTTTCCACACACAATATTAGTATGCTCTTGAGTTGCATTCGGGCTCTTACTGATGCCACGGGTGCAACTGACAGCTGTTGAATTAGGTCCAGAATATTTTCTTGTTTCTCATTGGAAAGGAGAACCTCGTCTTTGGGTTACTATTGTATTATGTCCAGAATTACTCACAGGTGTTACTGCCAGATCATACTTCTCCATGTTCGCCACAAACTCATGCTCCTCTAGGAAGATACAATTGATTTTGTGACTTTTATGCCCCTTAAGAAGGGCTCTGATTAGAAGGTGATGCCATTTGCAAGAGACAGTCAAAATTCTCTCATCCAGTGTTCATATTATGGTGGGTGAGGGAGGGGAGTAATCAGATAACACTGTCACGCCTAGTTTTTACAAGTTAGTTTTCTCTGTGCATAAGCACTTTTTTTTGAAGAAATGTTGTATTTTTACCATCTTTTAGGGGAGCTGGCAAGGCCTGGCAAGATTACCAGTCTGAATCACGATTTCTCCTGCCATAGTAATGAACCTGCAAGGCCCAGAAATCTGCTACTGCTCAGCACAGGTCCTACACTGCTATGGCTATGCTGAGGTTCCCTCCAGTTTTGACACTGGAGCAAACTTAACTGATGTTCAAACTGGTTTGTATTTTTTGGTAAGTTTATCCAATGTAGACAAGACACATGAAAGACATTCAGGTGATCTCTTTGCAACTCAAATCCTTGCATCCACCACTAGCCTATCTACTTTCAACTAATGTAGGGAGCGAATGGGCAGCCCTGTGAAGTTGCACCCTGCAAAAGAAGTGAAAAGGAGACAGAGATGTGAGAGCTGTGCTAACTATAAAAGCCACATTTATGAATTTCAGAAGATGGACTTCCGGTAAGAGTTACAAGTACTTCAGGGGGAAGAAGGACCAGGATACCTATTCACTTTCCCAGTAAAGAGAGAGTTCTAGAACTGAGCTGCCTTGTCTTTTTTTTGAATGCATCTATGCTAGAAAAATTAACAGGCATATTACAGTAGTAGCCCATAATGGTACAACTGCCACTCTGCAATTTTAACTGAACAACTTTAATGATATAGTGGAAAATTCTATCTATATCAGTGCTATATCAATACAACTGCATCACTGATGGCAATAACTGAAGTAAAGGTACAAATATTTCTTGTATAGATAAATCCTGTTCCCACTCCTCCCTCTTCTCTTATTCGGCAGGGAAGAGAGCTGATAATCCTCTTGGAATGCAGCAGTTATTACCTACCTGGTAGGTGTGAAGTTCTGCATTCCAAGCAGATTAACAGTTTAACTAGCTGAGAGTTGGAGTGAAAGTCTCTCTAATTGCACTGAAGAAGTTTGAGAAATGTATATCATTTTACTATAGAGGCATTTTCACTATATCCAGTAATATGGGATGAAAAATCCTTGACTCCCACTAAGCTTGTGTAATTGGGCTTTATGTGGTTGTATTGTAAAAGTGCTGGTGGAGGTGACAAACTGCATTGTCCAGCTGAGGGGTACATGGACTGCAGTTCACTGTTCCTCCTTCATTCAGGGGGAGGGAAGGGGGGAGAAGAGGAGGGAGTAGAGGGCGCAGGGATGCAGGAGGGGGGATGGGTGTCAGTGATAGGAACCCCCAAAAGTGACCATTAAGACCATACTAATATCAGGAAGACAACTATAGCATGAAAGGCCTTTCACAGGCCACCATTTATGCAGTTTTCATTCTATATATTATTATTATTTTATCATTAAACAAAAGAGTTGGCAAGTCAAATATTAAACCTATAGTAAGCAAACAGAAAACTGGCACGGTATACATTTTTGAGTAGAGAATGATTATTTTAGAATTTACAAGTAAATCCATTAGTTTATGAGTTAATTGAAAACTTAATTTGTAATTTCTTTGACTTGAATAACTTATTACAGAACACACAGACTTGTCAACCTTCGAATATAAATTAGTTTTGAAATTAGGTTGAATTAAAACTAAACTAATGACTTTTTCAATCCAATGTTATGATTATAAAGGCTACAATAACCAAGTAGAGCTCAGATAACTCTTTGCCACTGTGACAGAGAAAGTTCAATCAATTACTATCCTTCCTCTATAGCAATTATGAATGCAACAATTGTATTGGGTGTAATGAATCCAAAGGAGTCTGAACATGTGAGAGTTCTCACTGGTAGATTACCTGGCCCACCTGTCACTGCTCTTTAAAGGTTCTCTTGCCACACGTTTGGGCATGCGTACTTGAAAGGCTATGGCATTGAGGCCTCTGCTCCAATGTGCATGAGTCAGCACTGCTGTGGAAACAGAGGGAGGAATGCCCTCTGTTAAAGCACAGAGACAGTGTTACTAGGGGACTGACTTTCCCCCATCTCTCTACATATTGCTAGTCACACTCACACAAACTCCTAAAGTAATAAGTCAATTGCAAATTAACAGCCAGCTTCAGTTAGCTTCTACAGCTCTGGTGATCCAAGGCAGCTATAAACCCAACTTTAATTGGCTAATACTCTCTGGTTACTTTGCACTGAACTGGTATGCGAGTAAATCTCCCCTTAATATTAAAATAAAAAAAAAAAGGTTGAGACTATGCATCTTTAAAATATTATGAAGATCACCTGGTAGCATTCCCTTTGAGTTTCTTGTTTAGTGTTTGTGTATGAGTTTTTATTTAAAACAAACAAACAAAAAGTTACCCGCCTTTTTCCTTAACTGTTGTTCTTTGAGATGTGTTGCTCATGTCCATTCCATTCTAGGTGTGCGCGCACCCATGTGCGTGGTTGTCAGAGATTTTTGCCTTAGTGGCATCCATAGGGCCAGCTGTGATGCCGCCTTGAGTGCCGCCGGCCCTACGCCCTCCCAGTTCCTTCTTGCTGACAACTCCAACAGGGGAGCAGGAGGGCAGGTAATCGATTGGACATGAGCAACACAGCTCACAGAACAACAGTTATGAAAAAGATGGGTAACCGTTTTTTCTTCTTAGAGTTCATGCTTAAGTTGATTACATTCTAAGTGACTCACAAACAGTATCAATGGAGGCGGGCTCGTAGTTCACAGTCTTGCAACTTGCAGCACTGCTCTGCAAAGCCAGAGTCATCTCGAGCTTGCTGGATCAGCAAATAATGAGATGCGAACATGTGGACCGACAACCA